CCTGATTCTGTTTAGAAAGCGAAACTTGTTGCCAACTGGAGCTCGGCAGTTGTTCCACACGTGATCATGACACCACTCTCTGTTGCGCCAAGGCATAAACTTCATATGCAGCGGCATCACTATGAAGTTTGGTGGCACAAATGCTGCAAAATTCTCACCATTCCCAGTAATATGCTGATTTTCCAGCATAGTGTGTCTTACAAAAAGGCTATTAATGCAGGTGGTGAGCTACGATTGCCACATCTGCCCTGTGGCTCACTGAAGGAGGTAAGGCTGCAACCAGTCCCTCCGACCACCAGCAGCAGGCAAGGGGGTGAAGTGTCTTGCCCAAGGTCACAATGACTGCGACAGACAGGGCTCAAACTTGCAACCCTCCTGTTGGGCAACATAGCTAGTACAACATATCCAGACTGGATTTAAGTAGAAATGAAGGGCGGTAAAAACTGCTGCCACCTAGCTGTCGGAATTAAAATTGCACCACAAAGATGAAATAGTCAATGTTTGCATGAAAATTTTGAATAAAATATCAACCCACTGCTTTTAAATATCAATCTAGTATCATAAAACTAAATATTGCAACATTTTAGTGTATCAATATTTTTAAACATCTCTGTTTTTTCCCTGGCAGTTTCCCTCAACTGCTGTGTTGATTTTATTGGCATACTTCTAACCCTAACCACCTAGAACAGGGCTTTTCAATCCCAGGCCTGGAGGGCAGGTATCCAGAATGTTTTTGTTTTAACTCTGCTTCAACACACCTGATTTCAATTTGCAGGTGATTAACAGGCTTCTGCAGAGCTTGATGAGCTGCTGCACAGGTGATTCAACCACTGAATCGAGTCTGTTGGAGCAGAGAAACCACTAAAACGAGTCCAAGACCGGAATTGAATAGCCCTGACCTAGAATGTGCAAAGACAACACCCAACCACATCCAGAAGCATAATCCGTTTTCCTGTGGATGATCATTTTTCCAAAAGAAAGAAAAAAAAATGCACCAGATGGCCTTTTCTGCCGCATTTAGCTTTGGAGCTAAATAATAGAGATAGACTTAGAAATTAAGTGATGAATATTCTGGGGGAGGTTAAATCTCTTAATCTGTATATCCCAGGAATATTAAAGTCACAAAAATGAATGGGCGCCTTCCAAAAGGAGCCCCCACAGGACTGATGACGACAGACGTTTAGTCCTGCTTTGGCATTGTTTAAGCTCACAGGAAGAGCCTTTGGGGAGCAGGAGGATTTGTCTTTGCAGAGACGGGGTTAAACCTTAGCTGCCCCGAGGTAAATGTGCATCTGAGCCCAGTGTGGATGGAGGGGAGCAAGAGGAGATTACGTGTGTGGAGCTGCTGCGGACAGCATCCCCTCAGGAGTGGGGGAGGACTTCTTCTTTTATTTATTTATTTATTTCCTTTCTGTTTCTGAGGAGAGTGATCGATTCTGTGTCGTAGTCATGATCACACACAAACATCCACAGGAGGTTTTAGTCTGGGTGGCAGGCTACAAAGCCAGAGCAGGGAGGGATCACAGGAACTTCATCTCAACAGCCAAGAAAAAAAATATATTAAAATTAGAGGCTCATGATATCAGGAAGACGATCTGCTCTCTGGCATGCTTCAACTCTCATTCCCACTTTCAGAGAGCCTGTGCCCAGGGACCTAAAAGCCCAAGCTGTGGGAGTGGATGCATCTGCAAATACATGGTTCATCCATTTATTTTGTAGGTGTGTGCGCAAGTGTGCAGCTCAGAGATTAGCTGTCCTGTTACTTCAGTCACAGAGACGGTGAAACAAAAGCCTCTAACCAGGAGTTACACGCCAAGCTCTAAAAATAAGGCAGCAGGTCTAAATTAGTCCCTCAGCTCTGCAGAGAGCGAGAAACCGGCAACGATGCAAAGAGCAGCAGGATGAGTCGTGGCTTTACTGGTCAGCAAAGTTTTCATTTTTCACCTACCAAAACTCATAAACGGCTCTCTGATTGGTCTGTTTGTCCATAATCCCATAATAATCTGAGGTGCGTTTGAATGTTTGACTATAAATATTAATGAGACATCACTGCAGCCTAATGAGAGGCTTAATGATGTCAAAAAGATTAGACATTTTAATTTTCTCAGGGCTTTCCGGGTTTGTTTGTCAAATGTCACAGCGTTCAAAAAAAGAAGAGGTAAGGAAAATCCAATTTTCCCTCAACAACGAGGATAAACCCATTTCATTTCAATAAAGTTCAGTTAAATAACCGTCTGAGTGAACGAGGCGAGTAGATAAGGTAAATGGATTGACTGATGTTCATTTTTGACGTTTGTGGAGGAAAAAAACGTCTGCTTCATTAAACCAGACGCAATAAAATTTGAATATTTTTCCATTTGAGGAGTGTGAACATTTTCATTTAACCATAAAAGCTCCTGGCAAAATAAAAACCACATTCCATGTTGTATTTGCACGATCTGCTTCAGGAGTGACACAGCTGGAAGTGAAGTTTCACTAAAAAGTGATCATCATGTTAAGACTTGTTCCAATTCAAACCAAAGTGGCATAAATAATAACAACAACAACAATAATAATAATGATACATTTCATTTATAGGTGCCTTTCAAGAACCAAGGTCACCTCACTGAAACATGATAAAACTTACAAGTAAAATAATAAAATCAGATTATATCATAACATAAATCTATGTCTGTGTCATTCAGACTTTATTTTTATTTATTTATTTATTTGTTTTATTCATTTAGTCATTCTCAGTGTATTATTTAATGGTGTGCTTCAATCGTTTAATCAATACATTTGCAGTAGGATTTAATGCCTTGTAAGTCACACTTGGGGGAGAACAACGCTCCTGTTTCAGGAAGTAGAATTCAGCCGGAGGAGAAAGTAGCTTCAGACGACAGGATTTAGAGTCTGATATTTGGACATTTTGTTTTGGGGGGACAGGGCGGGACTCGTTTTGTTTTGAACACTGTTTCCCATTAGAACTGTCCATAATCAGGAAGTATGGGCTGCATGGTGGCACAGTGGTTAGCACTGTTGCCTCGCAGCACAAAGGTTGCAGGTTCGAAACTCGGCTGAAGCTTTTCTGCGTGGAGTTGCGTGTTCTCCCCGTGCATGCGTGGGTTTCCTTCGGGTACTCCGGTTTCCCCCACAGATCACAACATGCCCTATGGGTTATAAATTGTAAGTCGCTTTGGATAAAAGCGTCTGCCAAATAAATAAACATAAACATAAGTAGAATTCAGCCGGAGGAGAAAGTAGCTTCAGATGGCAGGATTTACGCCTGGGGCACACCGGAGGCGGCCACGCCGTCATTTTAAATAGAAGCCATTATAGTTAATGAGAGTGGGCACACGGGGCGCACCGAGCCGCGTGCCAGCAGCGCTGAAGGTAGGTGCCAGTTCTATCTCGAGTGCACCAGCGTGGGTTTACAACATTGTGGAGTACTTTACGACAGACATTACGATGTGAAACGGCTTTACAGCACAAACCCAGCTGCAGTTTTGATTACCTTACTGATCTTAAAATATTCTTATAGATAACGTAATTACCCATCGTTAGTAAATTAGAGTCTCACAAAACACGACGGCAAGTCTGATCACGTATAAACAATAGAGTCACTTCCCGCTTCCTGTTCACAAGTCCCACGTGATGTTGTGACTATCACGCGACTTCCCAAGAAGCGCTCAGCGGCGCGTGCGTCCTGTGTGACCGCTTGACTTCTCAAAATCTCAGACGCGACGCGGCGCGTCCGCCTCCGGTGTGCCCCAGGCTTTAGAGTCTTATTTCCTGATATTTGGACATCTTGTCTCAGATTGGCTAACAGCAACACGACTCTTCTGCTGACTCAGTTTGATTTAGTCTGGTCTGCTGCTTCTAGCCATTAGCTTATCAATCTGGTCAGAACAAATCTGCTTTTGAGGATGTTCACAGAACTAACTGCAACTGTTCATAACCTTTCAACAGAAACCCACAACTGTCCCTTTACTGTTCAATAACAGGCTGAAAAACATCATTCAGAGTCTGAATCACTTTCAACTGGTTACGATCTCAGACTGACAGGTGGAGTTTCAACCCCGACTTGACTGATCCACCGGTTCAAAGAGATGTAAAGATGCTAACATTTGGTATTTTGACACAGACTGCACATTAGTTGAAAAACACAAGCTCTTTTATCTTGGTATTTGTGAGAGATCGCTGAAATATTAATGAGCGTGTAAAAGGAGACCGCATTCATTGATTAGCCTGAAATAATGTGTGTTGGCTGAAAAAATAAAAAGTCTGCAGGCTGCAGCTGTGGTCCAGCATGACACACAACTCTGCTGTGTGTGTGTGTGTGTGTGTGTGTGTGTGTGTGTGTGTGTGTAAGTGAAAGCCCGTCGACGTTCAAGCACGAGTTTCCATTGAACAGGAGGTCTCATGAGGAGACTCGGTCCGCAGTTCACGCCGAGGCTTTCATCTGCCAATCACAGAAAAGATTAGAGGATATCAGAGGTCGCAGAGTCAAACCTCTCATCCTGTCCTCTCCCACCGAGTAGCAGGAGCTCAAACTCCAGCAGGATCGCCTCTCTCACTCGGCACCGGCTCAGGTCTGAGCCCTGCTGCAGATCTGCGAGATAACAAATTAAATCAGAGACACAAACCTTTGTTTATGCTCCCTCACACTGCGGCTAAATTATAAATGCACTGTTATTTGTTTACTCCATGTTGGACTGAGAGATGTGCATTATTCATCCCCTCTGACAAGAGACACAAGAGGAGGGCAGAGGATGGAGAAGACGTTCAATCCAGAAACAGGGATTTGAGCACTCAGACACATTCAGGCAAAGCCCTGAGCATGCTCACCATCAGCTCATTTTTTCAGGCAATCCTGAACAACAAAAAGGTTCAGAAAGGACAAAATGAAACGACCACAAATTGTTGATGCTTGATATTACTGGTCATGTTTTTCAGGGCTTTGTTCTCAATACATCTAAGGCAGAACCTCTCAGGCTAATTAGATTTCTTCTTGGTTTCAGTCCTGAGGGATGATTTCCGCCAGGCACCGAGCGACGTGGTGGTGGCTGCTGGAGAGCCGGCGGTGCTGGAGTGTGTTCCCCCACGGGGTCACCCAGAACCATCCGTGTTCTGGAAGCGTAACAACGTTCGGGTCAGCATCAAGGATGAGCGCATCTCTGTGAGTTCAACCTTCATTGCAACAGCAAAAAAAATAATAATAAAAATTAAGCCAATTTTGATGTTTTAGCTTGTAATTGAAGTAGAAAAGTACAGCTTTTGACATTTAAATGTGCATTTTTACTGTTTTGGGGGGAAAGGCTCAACCCGCTCAATAAGATTTTCATCTGTTCCAAATCAATTGATTTTAGTCAAACTGGATTTACTTTTTTATTTAAGCACTTAATTAAAAATATGTACTCACACACACATTCAAACTCAAATTCACTTGGATTTAAATCGAATTATAAATGCGTTTGTAGTTTTTGAAGAAACACTGAAGAGTTTATAACACTCTAAGCTATTGCTTTCAAACTGGTTTCAGTGGTTCTTGAACCAGAACGCTGAGCCGCTGCACACGAGAAAGCACCCTGCTGCCCTCTGCTGACAAAAAGCTGCACTGAACAACTTTGTGTTTCGGGTGGGCACCAACTGAAGGTGGAGCAGCGGTCGGGTGGAGCTTATTGTGCCGGTAGCTCGAAATAGACTTGGAGTTAGCTTTTTCAGTTCGCTGAAAAAGAACAAAAAGAGGAAGTTTGCTTTTTTTCTTCAGCGTCATGGCAGAGCCCGGAAGTAAAAGGAAGGGAGCAATGTCTTCAGAGATGAAGCAAAGAAACTAGCATGAACTAGTCAAAGAGCTAGAACCAGAGTGAACATCAACAAGGCCTACACTCATTGGAGGCGGCTGCACTGATGTTCACGACAGTTGTAATTCCACTTTCAACCAGTAGGACGCAGCAGCTGGACACTTATAGTGTTACTCGTCCAAAACAAATGTCGCCAACTCTGCATCTGTTCCACATCTGAGTTGAACGCAGAGGTCCTTCGATAGCTGATAGGCAGGTTCAAGCTAAATGCTTTGTTGCTCTTTGAGGGAGTTTTGAGCTAATTTAGTCCGTAGGCTTTTCTTCGTTGTTGTCTGGTGTTTTTTTCTTTCTTTCTTTTTTGGAGTAGAAACGTGCAGTCGTGGTATCTTCGCTTTTTTTGTGTGTGTGTGGCTGTGAAGGCAGTTGTAGCTTCTCCACGATTCATTGTCTTTGTCAACAGCTCAAAAACGCTGCTCAGTCTAGGTACATCCGCAAATGCGTCTGCACGCTCTGCAGCTAGCATCTGTACATAAGGAGAAGTCCAACGCTATTGGCTAATGTCAAGCATCACTCAGTTCTAATTGCATGGGGCTCTATGGGATGGAGGACGGGCGTGGCAAAAAAAAAAAAAAGGCAAATTGCCTACTTTTTTCCGGAACTGCGCTGCTCTGGGTGGCTGCATGTTGGAGTAGCTCTGTTGACTACATGTAAGTTTTGCCTTTTCTTGGGCATTTTTTCTTGTAGTTTCTCAAGAAAAACTGTATTTTTTTGGACACTTTACTTTTCTGTTTCTGGTGCTGTGAAGCTTAGAGGATTTTTACTGCTATTTTTTTTAGCTTTTTTCACTTTTTGAGCATTTGTTATGACATGTAACCATGGCAACAAGCTAGTTTACAATCGGGAGCAGCTGATTAACATTGGAAAGGCTGAAATAATACCTCAACTGAAGCCACAAATCCCAAATGAGCTAAAACGCAAGAAGCGTGGGTGCAGAGCGGGAGCAAAACGGAGACAGAGAAAGAGGAAATTCAAACCATCTCTTCCATCGATCATAATGGGCAATGTGAGATCACTGGCCAACAAGATGGAGGAGCTCCAAGCCCTTTCAAGGACTCAGCCAGAGTTCCGGCAGTTTCAGAACCACTGGAGGAGATAATGCAAAGAAGGATTCTCCAGAGAATCAAGAAAATTATGGTCAACCCTGAGCATTCTCTTCACAAGAATGTCCGACAACAGAAGAGTGTCTTCAGTCAGAGGCTTCTTCAGTTTCGCTGCAACACTGACCGCTACTGGAGATCCTTCCTGCCAACAGCCATTGTAATATACAACAACTCTTTGATGACTTGATTATTAGTATTATTCTGAGCTACTACAGCAATCAATTTCCCTCTGGGATTAATAAAGTATTTTTGAATTGAATTGAATTATTTCACTGAATAGGATCAGATCATCACTGTTAGGGTCTTATAACAAAAAAATCATCCATAATTCCTGAAAAAAGGAACATACCAGATTTCTGCTTTCAATGAACTGAAGGCATGTTGTGTTTGTCGCCTGTAATCTCCAGATATTTGCATGTTTTCCTGCATATTGTCTCCTACCACAATGTGCTTGATGCATCTTAATTGTTGCACTGTAGATCCAGGGATGTGCAGAAAAACATGGCATTTCCTTTCAGAGTGCAACATGTCACTGAAAAGGCAAAAAAGATAAAATGCAATAGGATTTAAGAGAATACTCTTGCAATGGTGACCTATCTATGTACTTGTTCTGACATCCAAAGTCAAGCAGAAATCTGTTCTACAAGTGACAATGGTTTCAAAGGACTATAATTCAGCGCAGACGTCTCTGAATGCTGCGGGCTGGAAAATGTCTGGATCCTTGGTGTCCCTGTCGCTGCGTCCTCTCATGTGTAAAATCAAGAGCCGGCTGTGTGATCCTTGAAAGTTGACATTAGAGATCTGAAGCTGATAATAGCCCCCTTTAAAGGAGGAACGATGGGAGAAACGGGTTGTTTTTTAAATGCATTTAAACCTCTCAGGCTCAAAATAAGTTTTGATAAAAGGACGAACAACTACTGTAAGTCCTTCAGGGGTACTTCTGAGTAAAAAAATGCTCATGAAATACGTACGTGGAGTAATCAGGTAGGTAGGGTTTAACGCTGCAAATCTGCAACGCCTGCCTCCAGAGGGTTAAAAGTCATGAACAAGCGTGGTCACCTCCACCACTAAATTTAATGTGAATTATGATGAAGCCTGTTTCTTTGTTTTTATTAAAGGATGCTAATTGTGCTTTATTTTTAGATGCGTGGGGGCAAACTGATGATTTCTCCCACCAAAAAGAGTGATGCTGGGATGTATGTATGTGTGGGCACCAACATGGTTGGAGAGAGGGACAGCGATCCTGCAGAGCTGGTGGTTTACGGTGAGCTGCTAATATTTGTGTTACGGACAGATTCAAGGAGCAAAATGTGCACGTGTGTTACAGGTCAACTTCACTGAAAAAACTTTATTTATTTATTTATTTATTTATTATTTCTGATTATAATCAGTCACTCTGAGTTTTCATGCAGGCTTAACATGAAAATTGTCTCCTACACCTATCTCCTGAATTAACTTCTGATAGAAAATAGACGATGAAACTCTAGGATTTGAAAAGCCTACATCACACTGTCACTCAAATAGACTCACCATCATGACTCGCATTGATGAAGGCTGTTGTTGGTTTAGCGTCCAGGAATCAGCAGAGAACGTCTTCCCCAGAGTACAGCTTACAAGACATTCAGTCCTAGAGACCGCTGCAAGTGTGTAAAAAACATGAGTGAAAGACACCTTCAAGTCGTGTGATTGTTTAATTTTCCCTGCAGAGCGTCCCGTGTTGGTGCGCAGGCCGGTGAATCAGGTAGTCATGGAGGAAGAGACGGTGGACTTCTTATGCGAGGTCCATGGGGACCCTGCTCCTACCGTGAGATGGAGACGAGACGAGGGAGAGCTTCCACGAGGGAGGTCTGACATGATCTGAAAACCTACGTGGTTGCACTTATTATTATTAATTTATGCTTTTCAATCAGTCTGCTGTAGCGTAATGGAAACGAAACAAAGCCCCTTTACTCATCACAGTCCTTTTCTAACCTCTTTTATTATTTTTCTACAATAATAACACCAATTTGACGCATAATCAGCTACAAAAATTGTAGCATGCTCCGAAGTTTTTACAAAATGATATTTTTCCAAACAAAAAGCTTTAATTCTGAACATGCAATTTAATCCATTCAGTCAGAATTATGCACATAAAATGAATCACTTGATTTATGCCACATAAATACACATCCATGCACGCTGAAAGCCTCTTTCTTGGCATCATACTGCGAGCATTTACATCTGTTTTTTCATGTATTACACAGAAGATGAAAAACAGTACATAATAGAGATTCGTCTAAGAATAAACAGATTTCAGAACGTGCTTTGTAGATTTAAAGTTGATCTTAGATGAAGGCGAGCCCGGCTTTCTGCAGGCCTCAGAGGTGAATCCCTGTGTTTTGTTCACCCAGAAAATGACGTTTAATACCTCTTTTAAGATCTGTTGAGTTTCCTTTCATCTTTGACTGACAGGATTGCACGAAGCTCGGCTGTTCTTTGTATTTTGTTTTCATGCAGGTTTGTTTGTTACCTCGTGTTCTTCTTTTGCAGGTTTGAAATCCGTAATGGGAACAACCTGCGTTTGTTCCGCGTGAAGGAGCAGGATGAGGGGACGTACACCTGCACGTCCGAGAACAGCGTGGGGAAAACCGAGGCCTCCGCCATGCTGCAGGTCCACGGTGAGAAAAGACACGTCACGCATTCTAAATATCAGAACACACTGGCAAATGCAGAAACCACTCCTCCCCCCCCCCCCCCCCCCCCGTGAGGTCACGGAAAAACGGAATCCAGCTCGGCGTCCAGAGCTTGGTGTGTTTTTGTATCGGAGCATCTGCGTGAGTCCCCGGCCAGATCTGGTGCCAGGAGCTTATGTTAAACCGTATGGATTACGCCTTTTGACAGATGTTTGGTAGATGTGTGCTTTAACTCACTGCCAGAGAGCATTCACAGTATTAATAAGACATGACTCCCCCCTCTCTTTCTTCCTGTCTCTCCCTCCTCGCTCTTCCTGTACACCCCTTTGCTCTGTTTTTATTTAGCTCCTGGTTTGAATGTCTAAGATGACTTCATCCTCTAAATCCTTTATCAGCACCACAGAAATCCAAACCCGGCAGTTTTCTTCTCAGTCTTGGACACATTTTCCTATCATAACGTATTTTTGAATTCTATTTGATTTTAGTCTCCGTGCTCCATCCCTTCATCCCATTCCCGTCCCTATCATCATTCTCCAACTTGGCTCCTGATCTCATTCTTATCTAGAGAAGAAAAGCCATTGATGTTTCTAATTCTCTTCTTTTTTAAAAGAGCTGTTTCCTGTCGGCTACTGCTAATGGGCTTTTAAAAGCAACAATCAGTGTCTGATGGTGTAAATAAGTCCTTCCATTAGATGCTGACAGCATGCCTGTTGCTGCGGCGAGGCATAAATAAAGCCTCAGACAGAAGGGCTCAATGAACAAATAAATTCTCCTCTACTTGTCAAATCGAGGGGGTTAATGCGACACCGTGGAGATCTGGTCTTATTCACAGAGTTTAAGATGCAGCTGAGAGTCCCGTAATCACATGTAAACTGCTGATTTTCAGACTTAAATGAGACATCGATGTGACTGATGCTGATTAATGTCCGTTTAAACTCAATGTATGCCTTCACTAAACTAAAATCCCTGCTGAATGACTGGAATAAAGTAGAATTCTAATGATCTTCAAATAAATGATGTTTATTAGGATGAACGCATAGTTAAATAGCAAATAAAACCCCATTCAAACCAGGCTTTTATCAGGGTTATTAGTTTTTGTTATGGGATCAGATCAAAACTTCTGTTCCACACAAGGAAACGCTGACGGCATCACTACATTCACTACAAATAACAGCTCCATTTTTACTGGAACAAGTAATCTTGCAACTTCTTTTGAAACTGAATTATGTAGTCTCCCCTAAAATGCATAAAACCTGGAAACTTATTTCTTTCTAGACTAAAAAAAGAAAATGTCTCAAATCAAGTTTTTTGAAACTTTCTTGACTTTCTGCATCATCAAATTTCACCTCCATGTCTGTAAATTTATCAGTCGTGATTATTTGTCTTGTAATTTAGCTAATGCAGACGAGCAGGGGGTGGCCATCTTTAAAAGTTGGGTTTATTTTTGCCTCTAATTATTTTTCATTTCAGTTGAAAAATGTGTTTCTATAAAAAAATAATGAAAACTGTTTCAAACATGCAAAGGCCAAGCAGCATTAAAACCAGCTGCGACCTTGTGTGAGGAGAAGTGATTTATTTTCTCCATTCAATAGTTTATTACTGATAACAGACGTTCTTCTCAAATGTAGTTTAGTAAAAGCTTTGATCTGAAGATGTCACAGAGTCAGACTCAAGGTGCCAGGCTTTCATTCGTCAGCAAAACTAACAAGATAACAGATGTTTGCACCAGTTTTATGGAAGGATAAAACAACATAACAACAAAAACCGTTGAACATTTGAGGCTGATCTGTTCCTGAGTGGAGGGAGTTTTGCTAGCAGGAGAAAACTGTGGGAAGAGATGAAGTATTTGTATAAAATTGTTTGAAATGTCAAAAGATGACACTGATCACCAAGCCCAAAAAAAGCTAGGATGTCTAATTAGGAAACGTCACATTTTACCTGCTGCTCCACAACACGCACAGCGCTTCGTGTTTGTACTTTTTACATTTTTGCTTCTGTGAACTCACCGTGTTTTATTTCTGAGATGTTTTCATCATGGTTTCACCTAAAACTAAATACAGTGGTGTGAAAAACTATTTGCCCCTTCCTGATTTCTTATTCTTTTGCATGTTTGTCACACAAAATGTTTCTGATCATCAAACACATTTAACCATTAGTCAAAGATAACACAAGTAAACACAAAATGCAGTTTTGAAATGATGGTTTTTATTATTTAGGGAGAGAACAAAATCCAAACCTACATTGCCCTGTGTGATAAAGTAATTGCCCCCTGAACCTAATAACTGGTTGGGCCTCCCTTAGCAGCAATAACTGCAATCAAGCGTTTGTGATAACTTTTACAGCGTTCTGGAGGAATTTTTGGCCCACTCATCTTTGCAGAATTGTTGTAATTCAGCTTTATTTGAGGGTTTTCTAGCATGAACCGCCTTTTTAAGGTCATGCCATAGCATCTCAATAGGATGCAGGTCAGGACTTTGACTAGGCCACTCCAAAGTCTTCATTTTGTTGTTCTTCAGCCATTCAGAGGTGGATTTGCTGGTGTGTTGTGGGTCATTGTCCTGCTGCAGCACCCAAGATCGCTTCAGCTTTAGTTGCCGAACAGATGGCCGGACATTCTCCTTCAGGATGTTTGGGTAGACGGTAGAATTCATGGTTCCATTTATCACAGCAAGCCTTCCAGTTCCTGAAGCAGCAAAACAACCCCAGACCATCACACTACCGCCACCATATTTTACTGTTGGTATGATGTTCTTTGTCTGAAATGCTGTGTTGCTTCTACGCAGATGTAACGGGACATTTGCCTTCCAAAAAGTTCAACTTTTGTCTCATCAGTCCACAAGGTATTTTCCCAAAAGTCTAGGAAATCATTGAGATGTTTCTAAGCAAAACTGAGACGAGCCCTAATGTTCTTTTTGCTTAACAGTGGTTAGCGTCTTGGAAATCTGCCGTGCAGGCCATTTTTGCTCAGTCTCTTTCTTATGGTGGAGTCGTGAACACTGACCTTAATTGAGGCAAGTGAGGCCTGCAGTTCTTTAGAAGTTGTCCTGGGGTCTTTTGTGACCTCTCGGATGAGTTGTCTCTGCGCTCTTGGGGTAATTTTGGTCGGCCGCCCACTCCTGGGTAGGTTCACCACTGTTTCGTGTTGTTGCCATTTGTGGATAATGGCTCTCACTGTGGTTCGCTGGAGTCCCAAAGCTTCAGAAATGGCTTTATAACCTTTACCAGACTGATAGATCTCAATTACTTTTGTTCTCATTTGTTCCTGAATTTCTATGGATCTTGGCCTGATGTCTAGCTTTTGAGGTGCTTTTGGTCTACTTCTCTGTGTCAGGCAGCTCATATTTAAGTGATTTCTTGATTGAAACAGGTGTGGCGGTAATCAGGCTTGGGGGTGGCTACAGAAATTGAACTCAGGTGTGAAACACCACAGTTGGGTTATTATTTAACAAGGGGGCAATAACTTTTTCACACATGGCAATGTAGGTTTGGATTTTGTTCTCTCCCTAAATAATAAAAACCGTCATTTCAAAACTGCATTTTGTGTTTACTTGTGTTATCTTTGACTAATGGTTAAATGTGTTTGATGATCAGAAACATTGTGTGACAAACATGCAAAAGAATAAGAAATCAGGTAGGGGGCAAACAGTTTTTCACACCACTGTATAGAAACGTAAATGCTGCCAAATGCTGAGGATGTGTTGATGCACAGCGTGAATTATCTTCATGTGTCCTCGGGAATTTTAACCGTTTGTAGAAAAACCTGCCATTAGAATAGTGAAAGTTGGCTGTTGGCGTAAAACCGTCCATCCGTCTTTCCGTCCATATAGATCTATTTATTCAAGGCAAGGTCATAGAGGTAAAACTTCCAGACATCATCTCTCTCTCCATCTTCTCCTGGAGGAATCTCAGGCCAAAGAGAAGACAAAGATCCCTCCAGATAAATGCCCTAGGGTCTCCTCCAAGTGGTCTTTCGAAAAATCCTCCAGAGGCAGCTGACGAGAAGGTGTACGTGTAAGAATCCTGAACCAACTCAGATCATCCTTTTGATGAGGAGGAGCAGCAGGTCTAACATTGCATTTGTATAGAGCATTCAGCTCATTGCATTTGTATAGAGCATTTAGCTTAGGCCCTGTTCACATGTCAGGATGAGGGCTGCATGGTGGCGTAGTTGTTGGCACAGTTGCTTCGCAGCAAAAAGGTTGCAGGTTTGAGTTGCATGTTCTCCCCATGCGTGCGTGGGTCTCCTCTGGGTACTCCCGTTTCCCACACAGATCACAACATGGCATACCCTATAGGTTAAAAATTGTACGTCGCTTTGGATAAAAGCGTCTGCCAAATAAATAAACATAAATTCAAGTCACCACATTTTTGCCTGATTCTCTCCTTTTATCTGAAGGATGTGCCCGACAGCTTTAAAGGTAATCTTATCAGACATTCCTGTCGTGCGTGATGTGTTACGAGCGCTCTGGACTGCTTGGACGGACGTCCGGACCAATTAAATAAGAAATCCAGGCTTTTAAACATGTAGGATTGTCTCAGTCTTATTTTTGCGGACAATAAAGCGTGCTGCTTGTTCAGTGTGACGTGTAGCTAATCAGAGAGCAAGCTGCAAGCTCCACAATGTTTGTTTACTCCAAAATAGACAAAGCTCAATCCTGCAATATTTCTCGTATGACTGTCCGTGTGTGAAACTAGTGTGTGTGCGGTGTGATTTTTGCCGTGTTGCTGCACACCACGCAGTAGGACCAAATCCGGTATATCCGTGATTTTTTATCACCATGTGTGCGGTCTCTCATGTTCAGAAAATCTTTTGACAATTTATAAATTCTTCCCTGAATCAGGTTTAAGTCGGGCACTCCGAAGCCTGATTACAGGACAAACTCCTTAAAGTAACAACAGGTCGTTTTTTAAACTTTAAACTAGAGCTTTAACATTGATCTCAGTGATTAATGGGTTAGAAACTTGACTAGTTTCATGGTTGACAC